AGAGCAAGATTGCTAACTTCAACCAGAGATGAAAGTTAGGATGTAGTTGCGGCTGTGCCCCCACCCCATAGTGATGGCGCGTCTCCCACCAAGAGTGGCCCACTCACCAGTTTGACATGCTTCAGGTGCAGTGGCAAAGGCCACATAGCAAAAGACTGCCGGAAGTGCAGAACACGCTGCTATCAATGTGGGGAAGTTGGACACTGGGCCCAAGACTGTTCGGGAAACGCTACAGGGGACACGGCATCAGCGCCAGCCTTTTTCCCCAACCAAGATGTAAATACGGTGCTCCTGGTGGCAAACATCCTTGTTGATGGAACTTGGTGTTCAGCGCTGATTGATACTGGCTGTTCACGGACGATTGTGGATGCAGATTGGTGCTGTTCCTGGAAGAGAATGACGGTGGACGTCATGACTATTGGACGCATGTCCCATCCATGTTGCGGTGCAGGAGTGGTAACTGTATCCAAGGAGGAAGGTGGTTCTGCCAAGATCAACGTGTTGGTGGTGCATGGTAGACCACTGGGATTTGACCTGCTATTGGGGATTGATGCCATAACAGCATTGGGAGGTGTTGCTGTTGGGCCAACGGGGCGAGTACAGATTGGCAATGGGCAAGCAGCCAAGTGTGCAGCCATTACTGTGGACGAACCCGACTTCACTGCCACCTGGCGATCCTGGACTGTAGCATGGAAGTGGTCAGAGAACCGCGTGCATGAAAGACTGCACAATGGGATTTCTGAGTACCCGGTAGCAGCAGAAATCAGGGAGGGCTATGAGTAGGAGCTCCGCACGTGGATCAGCAATAGCTGGCTTATGCCTAAACCTGGGAATGAACTGGGGACCATTAGACTTCCGGGAGCTCAACCATCACTTTGATGCTTTCACAGCCAATGCAGACATCTGTGCAGCTAAACTGCGTTAATGGCAGCAGAAGGGATCCAACGTGTCCTTGTTGGATCTCAGGAGAGCGTACCTCCAAATACGTGTCTACGAGTCACTCTGGCCATACCAGACTGTGAAAATTGACGGGAAAAGATATTGACTGACACGTTTAGGTTTTGGATTAAACGTGGCTCCCCTCGTCATGAAGGTGATTATTAGCACGGTGCTGGCTCAGGAAGAAACTGTGGGTCGCGCAGCATCTGCTTACATTGACAACATCTATATCAATGAAGATGTTGTTCCCGCGACTCATGTTAAAGAACATCTGGCCCAGTTTGGGCTGGAATGCAAGGACCCAGAACGGTTGGAGGATGGCGCTTGGGTACTTGGATTGGCAGTCGTGATGGAACAAGGTAGATTGCAGTGGAGATGAGGAAGCGTGGTTCCTAACACCCCCGGTGTCATTATGCAACGGAAGGTGTTCTCTCTGTGTGAAAGGCTTGTTGGGCACCTCCCAGTGTGTGATTGGCTCCGTGTGGCATGCGGAATGCTCAAGAGGAGAGCAAGTTCAGTTACGAAGGGCTGGAACGACAAAACAAAGGATGCCCTCCTCCAGCGCATGGTGCCTGAGACTGTGGATTCTGTGCAGCAGAATGATCTGGCCCATGGGGAGTGGTGCATGGATGACCAGGAGCTAAATGTTTGGATCAATGCAAGTTCCCTGGCAACCGGAGTGGCATTAGAGAGCCACAAAACAGTGCTGGAGGATGCTTGCTGGCTGCAACCTAAAGACAACACTCAACACATCAACCTGACCAAGCTGGATGCTGTGTTGAAAGTTGTCAATCTAGCACTCTAGTGGCAGAGCAAGACGCTACACATAAACTGGGAGAGTGCGAGTGCACACCAAGGTGTCAAACGAAATGCAAAATAATTAAATCTACCCAAGGAATCTGAAGAAATCCCCCCTCTGACAATCCACCCAAAGGGGGAGCAAGAGCAGAGCCCCCACCCTGCCTTTGCAAAGAAGTACCCGTTGAAAACGACCGTCGCCGGGCTGCCACCTTTGTGATCAAGAGATCTGGGAGGGGTGTGATGAAAGACATGACTTACCTTGAAGTTCAAAACGAGTGTGAACGTGTCTTGCCTGCAAAGTAATGAGGAAAAGAAATATGTCCACTATTGAAGACCCAATTTATGCACGCCGATCTCGTCCAAAATGAAACAACATTTGCACACATGCAAATTTTAGTCACATCAGACCGGCATAAAAAGCGAGATGCCAGCAGCACAGTGAGGAGGGGTTCGAGTCATTTGGCGGACTTCGTGCAATAGAGTTGGACATACAAATTGACTGATGGACAAAGAGGAAGTCAAAGTAGGCATGGCTGAGTTGGTGTCTGTTTCACGACTGCCCGGTATAACGGCTGAGAAAGGGAGTCTCGCAATCCACTTTCTTGAGGTGACCGATGACGAAGGAAGAACAGCTGGTCTGCCGGCAAACGGCGCACTGCACTTTCTTCCCCCCCTCTTGTCACTTTCTTCTTTTTGTTTACTACAATATATATATATATATATATATATATATATATATATATATATATATATATATTATATTTTTTTTAAACAGAAGAATTTTTTTGAAATATACCTCTCATCTAACACATTATCATAATTATGAAAATAATTTCTTCACAAGTTTCTGGATGAATTTTTGATTTGATTCAATCTTTCTTATCAACTCGCAAAATGAAAGTTGTCCTGAATGGCTGCTCTTCTAGATCTTTTTGCATTAATGTGTGTCTCCTCAGGGTTCTATCTTTGGACCTACTTTGTTCCTAATTTTCATCAACAAACTTACTGATGTCATCAGTTCTCAATTCGGTATCTATGCTGATAACGCAACTATTTACTCCTGTCTTAATGGTAAGTCTGATTGGTTTGATAAGGTAAAATTGGCAGATGATTTCAAAAATGGCCTAGAATCTGTTGTTAACTGGGGCAAGAAATGGCTTGTAAATTTTAATGTCTCCAAAACAAAATTGTTTTTTTAATCATCTGCAATATCCAAAAAACAATTAGAAAACTTTGTAATAAATGAAATTATGTGTTATTTATAAAAATTTTGAGACAAAAAAGTATTCATAGAAAATGTCATTAATATCAAAAGGCTTAAATTACCATTTTATATATATATATATATTCACACACAGATACACACATTTATCGGCCTGTATGTTTGAGAAATTTTGTAGAAAATATGCATTTTCTTCTCAAAGCTTTTAAATTTTTCTCATCTTTTCACATGTACAGTTGCATTCCTACTTTTATTTACATTTTTTTTTTTAACCAAAATCTATAGAAATAAATTTTAGTTTAATTCATTATGAAAAACTGTTCAAATTATTTTACTTATTCAGTCAATCTATTTTGCATGATCATTAAGAGCAGAAAGTATTATTCAACCCAGTGGCAAAGAAAAGTTCTCAGCCTGACTCACTTTCCAAAATCAGTGATTAAACATTGGAATGTTTTTTTTTTTTGTTTTTTTTTGAAAGATTAAAGAAAATTGAGAAACTATGTGCCAAATGTGTTGAACTACTGTGTGAATATATGAATATATGGGGATAGTATCTATGTTTCATGCATGGGCAAACTTTTTTAAGCAGTGGGCCACATGATCTATGACCACACTACTAAAAAGATTCAAGGTTATTTTTCATAGCACCTCAGCTATTTTCACAACAGAAGACCTTGGAAATATTTTTTTTTTGTAAGGAAAAATTTTCTATAATTAAAATATTGAAGTCTTGGTATTATCACTGATGACAGTATGATTAAAACATGTTACTGTGTGTAATTTATTTCTACTTTATTTATTTGAAGATAGAAAATTATCTTTCTTCTTCAGAGAAAAAATTCTTACCAATGTTTCCTGTTTCAAAAGTAAAATGTTTACACATATGATCTTCCATAGTGAAAATCGCCAATGGTTTAAAATGATAAAAATGTTATTCTCACTGAAAGTTTACAGAATTCAAGGAACATTGTCCTTAATCCTTGTTAATGTATGTGGTTATGTATGAGAGAGAGAGAGTGTGTGTGTGTGTGTGTGTGAACAAGTGAGAATGAAACAAAATAAAAATCTGAGAAATATCTTCCTTTTGAAATTAAGTGTGCCATTCAGAAAAGCCTGTGACTACTCTAGGTCAGGCTGAGAACTTTTCAACATCCCCTCATAGGTAAATTTATTTTGCCAACTAAACATAAGTTCACTAGATTGATTCTCTTGATTTGAAATTACATGACGACATCAACAAAAATGTACACATTGGTAGTTGAATAGAAACTAGCTATAAGCAAAATGTAATGATAAAAAATGCTTATGCATTTAAAAAAAAAAATGAAATTATTCTTCAAATAGATAAAAAAAAAGTGTTTATTCCATACATGTAACCTTGGATAATTTTGCCCTGAAAAGTAAAGTTAAAAATAATATCTGTCAATTCAGCTGGAAATCTGACCAATGGATAAATTTGACAAAATAGATCCACTTTATACTATAAGGTTGGAAAAATAATAGATTTGGATTTCATCCAAAAAATATGTTTGTAGCTAGTTTTTGTATTCCTCTAAAGATGAATCCTTACTCTCCACACTAAATAAGAATATGCAAGAAAAGAAAAAATACAGCAAGTATATTATATTAAGAATCAAAGTTACAGAATGATATAATTATTAAAAGAAAATATTCAATGTTTCATTGTCACCTGCTAAATCAGATTTTAATCTAACAGTTCATGTTTTCTATCATATTGCTTATGTTGCAAAAATAGGAGAAAATAAGGTTCATGCCTAAGTGTAGAAATTTAACATTATTCTGAAAAAAAACACTTTCTCCCTTTAAGTAGCAACTGATGTTGATTCTTTCATGACTGCTATCATCAGCAATCTAACTGCTGCAAATATTTGTTGATATATGTTGTCATGGCAATTAAAAGGTATTGATTCTAAGTGGACAGTCTTGGTAGTTGTATTTTTGTTTAACTCTTCTCTTTCTTTCAATAACCACCAGATAAAATCCTAACAGTAATAATGCATCAACTAAACTTGTAATGGAGTTGGATGACCCAATTTACAAACAAATTCTGGTAGGTAAAACATTAAATATCACTGATTTAACAAAAACATCATTTTGTGTCCATTAATGTTTGTTTTCCAGGACTTTAATGAATTAAAATCCTTATATAAAGTGAAATAAATATACTTTATTGCTATGATTATATATTAGCATTTAACTGTAGATTTGTATTTGTCATGTGGTAAAATTTTTAAAAAAAGTTAAATTTATTTTATATGCAAAAAAATTTAAATTAAAAACATGTACATTTTAAATATGTTTTATGTAGTATGTTTTTGCCTGAAATTATTACAAATATAAAAAATTATGTGCATTTTTGTAAAACAAGGAAGTTAATTTTTCAGAGAAGCTTGAATAAATGATATATTTTAATTTGATTTTTTTTTTCATGAAAATTTTGAAAGAAAATAACTTATAACAAAATTTTTCTATGAAAAGACTAAATGGCATAATGTGGGAAAATATATAATTTAGTTTTAAATAAAAAAAATTCAATAGGAGTGGAAGTCTTACAGTATTATTTTTTTTAATTTATAAATAATTTAATAAAGTAACAGTAATAAATTGTTTGTTCCCTACCTAACTTAAAAATATTTACTTGTATTCATATTTGAAAACTCAATTATTTTTTATCTTTAGGCATGGGAATATTGACATAACTTGCCACTCTTCCTGTTGTTTTTCTTAGTTTTATCCTTATATTTTCACATGCATGTATCTTAAAGAACCTTTATTTTTTTTTTTTTTTTTAAACAAGGGACAGTATTAACAGTTATAAAATACTATCCTATTACTACCATATGGAAAGATTTATTAATATAGCTTTGATTTGTCATCGGTCTATTGCAAAAGCCACGTTTATAGAAAGTTTATATACATTTTCCCCTCTAAAAAGTTTAAAAAATAAAGAAAATACAGTTTTATTTCTAGTGAACCAAGTTGTTTATTTGATTTAACTTTCTAGATTAATGTTACAGTTTAAATTTCAAATTTGTGCCTTATGTGGCAGAAATAGAAATGAAAGAAATTGTCTTCTAATGAGAAAGAATTATATGAACAGTCAGTGGTAGAAACTGTGTGTTCTGTCAACAATTCTGCTCCATATTAACTAAGGCCCAATAAAGGAATATAATGATTCAATGAAATTAAGCAGGCTACTTCATAGGGGGTATTCAGGATAATGATTCAATGAAATTAAGCAGGCTACTTCATAGGGGGTATTCAGGATACACTTGAGTTCACTGTTTCTGGGACTATGATCTTTGAAGGTAGAATTTGATATATACCTTTGAACATATCATTGTGTGTGTGCACAGAGAATAATTATTATATTTATTAGATATTTGTTCACTTTGATGAATCAAAGTAACATTGAGCTTGTAGAAGATAGAAAATGCTCTCCAATATTACAGGTTGTTAGCATAAAACTGTCAATGGAATCAACGAGTATTGTATCGGAAATATCATAAGGTGCACCTGAATCATAACAATTAGATAACTCTGCTATATTTGCTCCATTTCCTGTTAATAGTGCTATTTTAACTATAACTAGTTGCCAATTACTGTGTAACCAAGAATTGTTTTTCTATCCGAACATAATTTCTTTTTATATTAAAAACACCGGCAATACATTTAAAAAAAAAAGAAAAAGTTACCAGCAATACATTTGACTCACAACAAAAACCCTCATTACAAAAATATTTTAATGAAACTTGATCTACAGATTTCTTACAAACAATACATATTGTATTCATACAAATCTATTCTAAAAATTTTGTCGGTATTAAATAACCCATTGAGACTGAGATGCAATAAAAAAACAAATAAGCCATAAAAAAACCATGATTTCTTCCTGAGTTATTCACTCCATGGAATAAATATGCCATTGGGTATCCTTGCTGGAATCTGGCTACCTCTAGTCTTACCTAACTATTAGTATATTTAGTAGTGACTTTCTTGTTTATGTTATATCAACAATGAATGATGAATAAAGACTAGCAGCTATCAAAACAAATCATGTGATGTGGCTCATGTCCAGGGATTGTCCTATGCTGGGAGCATATGAGTGCATACATCTTGTTTAATATTCTTTCTTATGGGGTAGAATGTTTAAACTTAAATGTTTGAAAAAAGGTTTTTTGTATAGAGTTGGGAATTATGACATGACATTGTTGTATATATAAATCTGTGGGTATAAAAACTGTTTATTGGTTTTACAAAGCAAATTTGATACATTGATTTATTTAAATACTCTTCTAGATATATATTTGGAAATACCTGAAATGAGTGTACAGCTTCACTGATACACTATTTACAATATTCGGACTATTGTTCTCATCTTTGTTGCCATAAAAAGAATACCCGCTCGGCCCGGTGGCTAGGATCAAAGTGTAGTATCTGCGCTTTGTGAGCTGCCGGGTCGGGTGTCTGTCGAACTCTCTGCTTGCAGAGGGGAACCCGGACGAAGCTCCGCCGAAGGGTGGGGTTTCGTTCAGGGAGGTTGACGGAACTAGCCCGCTTGGACGGGTTTAGATGGGTTTTATTTTTGGCTGGGCCTACGGGCTCAGACATACCCACATTAAAAAGGCCTTGTGCCACATTCAATTCCTGTGGGTGAATTGATAAATACCATCTTTGTTGCCATATTTATTACAACGTTTTGGCCATTGTACACTCCGGCCTTCTTCAGGTGGTTGGTGTGACACTATTTTGCTATGGTAAACAGGAAAGACTTAAGGCGAGAAAGAGCTATATCGAAAGATAAACTGATCAACGTTAAAAAAAAGATTTTATTTTATTTACAAAGAAAGATACTTTCCGCACAAGACAGAAAATCTGTAAGAAAAAGCAAGATATGAGATTCTGTCAAAACTGATTAATGTCACGTTAAGGAAGTGACACACCAAGGGAAACAGAATTTGGCCATAAAAAAATTTTGGCTTGAGACCACCACGGAGAATAGATATTAGTTATCTTTCAGAGATATCATTTAATTTTAATTCCTGGGTCCAACGAAGGGAGCCATCCTGTGTGTGTTAGAATTCTGGCATGAGGAAGAAAATCGTATTATTATTGCTTATTCAAACTTTTGATGTCAGACACAGTGTCGTCGAAAATGGGCATTTGGTGATAAGAGGATTTTAAGGCATGAGAAAAATAAAGAATTTGATTCTCGGGTAAAATACAGACCTCCCAGCTAAAAGTTGACTTAGCAGAAAAAAAAACAGGTGTCGGGTTTTGACAGTGATTGATTAGTCGGTAGAGAGACCCGACTAAGTGAATTTTGGGTGTCCCCGAAAGAAAGATGTGATAAGAATTATTTGGCAATCTGGGATTTGTAAATGTTTTGGCCGAAGAAAAAAAAAAAGGAAGAAACGGATTTTGTAAAGAAAATTCTGGATAATAATTTCAAGAGGGCCAGTCTAGCCACACCCACACTGCTGAGAGATCATTGGTCAAGTGGTAGCATGAGTGATAGGTGGAGGTGAATGTATGAGAAAGACTAAGAAGTTGTTAACACCCAATGAGGGGATTGGTATGAGATACCAATGTGAGAGAAGAAGAGTCTAAGAGGATAACTCTCCTCCAACCTTCCTTCACGGATGAGGGAGAAACCCCCGAAATGGAAAGTGATTAATCTTCCAAAAATGGGAAGTAATTAATTTTCCTGGCCTAAGAACAAAGAGAATTCTTGTTGGGAATCAAGAATTATCTAGGAACCCAAACCCAGTCAGGCCCCACACCGGGTTTTGGTCAGTATCCATATAATATCTTGAGGCAGCTAGTCAGTTTGCAGTTAGTCAGTTCCAGCAGTTGATTTGCAGTTGCAGTCAGGCCATGGCCTTGCAGAAGCTGACCGAGAAATTCCACGTCCTTCCAACTTAGCCTTCCTACTAAAAGCAAGTTATATTGCCAAATGACTTATGATACCAAAACTCGCTTAAAAAACGCAATAGAAATGGGATGAGAGAGAAACACACTCCTGTATTCAACAGACGGATAAAGATAATTTGTTATTTCTCAACATATTTGAACCTCTTGAGTTTTGTTTTATTGTTTCTTTTACTTACGCTTGTGCGATATCACCTTTACCCCGGATTCAGCTTGCACTATGGCCCGACGCCTGATTGATTTTGTCTGCCTAAGATCAAAGTCACAACATGGGTAGATTAGACTTGAGATCTAAGTAGTTACTTTGGTAACCAGACATTGGAAGTGAGCTAGGAACGACAAAGCTGGTATTGAACCAGGAATGAGACAGGCTGGTGGCAGCGACAAAGAGTCAACCCCAAAATGCTGGTGGAAGAAACCTTACAGCTTCGCGCTGCAACTGGGAGTTGACCACAGGCCGACAGCGCAGTGTCATATATTGGCATCGCAACCAGAGGACATCACATATTGGCACTGCAACTGCAGCCACCAGTCGGTGTCACATTGGAATGTCGAACTGAACCCTTTATTTCACTCACTGGGGTAGACTGTTTTAGTTCTATGTGCCATGTTTAATGGATGTCAGTTATCAGTTATCTCCTGTTAATTCCCCTCAAGGACACATGGCACAGTGGATAAAGGTGTTGGTTAGATCCAGTGACAGGACCCACAGAGTGTGAGAGAACTTTCAAAGGGGAATTAACAGGAGATATCTGATAACTGACATCCATTAAACATGGCATGTGGAACTAGAACAGTCTAACCCAGTGAGCGAAATAAAGGGTTAAGTTTCACATTCCAACCACCTGAAGAAGTTTGGAGCATACAAAGGCCGTTATCAGGCAAACGTCATACCAACTGTTCCAACAGACCTCGGTGAATTACTTAATTATAATTATTTCAAATCCTCCTAATTTCTATCACTTGCAATCCTTGCTTGAACCGGCTTCTAATGCTCTGGATGGGGCATCTTGGGGATAGTAGTCATGGCTCATGGGGGCACAGTCCTATGAGTAAAAGAGAAACTTGGATGAGTTCCACCACGGAATATGTGAACGAGCGGTGCAATATCGAGTCTGATTTGCTATCTCTTCATCACTGAGACCCATTGGAACAGTTGGTATGATGTTTGGCTGATAACGTAACTGTACAGGTTTCAATTCTCGGTAGTGGATGAGCACTGCTGATGAGTCCCAAATATAGGACGAAACGGCCATCCAGTGCTTTCTGCATTCTGTTGAGGTTTCTTCAAGACTCAATGAATTACTTATATATATATATATATATATATATATATATATATATATATATATATATAGAGGATGTCTGAGTGTCTGATACCTTTTCACTTTGGATCCATCTAACCGATTTTGACCAAACTTGACACATACATACAGATAGGTTCATAACATAAAAATTGATAAAGCCAATCAAAAATCAATAAATTCAACTTTTTTCCTCTATTTTCTTTCAAGCTCAGCATGTAGGTTACTTACATCATGATGAGCTCAACTATACCTAGTTTTTATTTCTACACCACTGCATTTAGTGAAAAATGAAAAATTAATTTCAACACAAATTTTAAACTAAAAATTCCCTGTTTTGAAGCAATCTTATATAAGCTTCAGTCATCCGTTACCAACAGTAAGTTGATTGTTTAACTTGATAATTAAGTCCACCCATAGAGTGAAAACTCGTATAAATAGCGAAAAATGGTGATTTGGCAATGCTGGTTTCTTTCTTATTTTTCATTGATCTTTCAACTAATTTTCATCAAACTTAACAATTGCTTTATAAATGTATCCTCTTTTACATCCCTGGTAGCACACTGATAAATTGAATTTCAAAACTTCCAAAATAATTGAGGTCTGAAGTGGGTCTTCATGTTGCTTGTTTATCCCTTCATGTCCTTGGCTAAGTTTGAGTGAATAAATACAGACTACTTCTGTTATATCAGTAACTGCATTAATATAAAATGTTTTTTAATGAAAGTACTTTAAAGTAATTGAAGAAGATAGATTCTGTTACATCTAAACATGATGCTGTTATTGCTCCATTTTAATTGAATGTTTTTCTGATCGAATGGCTGCTAGTATAGGAATATTTTTTATTCAAATGATTCCTCATAGATGTGAGCACTTTAACAGGATTATTGGTAACATAACTGGTACTACCAACAGAAAATTGGATTTTTGTCTGACATTGTATACATTTTTGCTTTCTCATCTGCAAATTTTTGACAAATATAGTTGTTTTTTGTTTTTTTTAACTAGGAAATTTTTTGATATACCCTCATAGATATTTTTTGACATGCATTATTTTAAGAACTAATCTGTTTGACATAAGTTTTTGAAGTAAATTGTCCTTTATAAAAATGCCATGTCCCCTCAGTACATAGGCAATCATGACTCTCTATAGATTCTTTTTCTTCATGTGTGAATTGCCATGTATTCTTGGGAAAGATAGTAGGGTGGATTCTCATTGTTTCCCCTACAGCTTTGAATTCAAAGATTTTCTTCTCTGGTTGTCACTGAAGACTATAGAACGCAGTCTACTCTACTATTTAACCCATAACTGAAGGGAGAGCAGATGGTATTTGTGCAAAACAGACTGGGTTGAACTCAGCTCATTGTTTCCACTTTTCAGCACCAATATCTTTATCTACATCTTTAATAGGATATGACATTAATTTGAAAGTGCTTTTCTCCATATGCCTTATTTTTTATACATTTCTCTCTCTTTCTCATATATATATATATATATATATAAATGATACCTCAACTTAAGTTGTTTCGAGTTAAGTCATTTTCAAAGGTATGTTGGTATTCTTAAATATTATATGTAAAAATAAAACTTTCCATAGGTCATTTTACTCAAATTTACATCAGCCGATATTAGATACGTCAAAACACTAAAATAACAAACACATATAAAGTCATAATTAAATAAATTTAAAAATAATATTATGTACACACACACATATATATATATATATATATATATATATATATATATATATATATAAAATGATACTTAAGTCATTTCAAGTTAAGTCATTTTCAAAGATATGTTGTTTTTTCTTAAATATTATATGGAAAAATAAAATTTGCCTTAGGTCATTTTACTTGAGTTTACGTCAGCGGTTAAAATATTAGAAACATCAAAACACTAAAATAACAATAAATACATATAAAATTATATTCAAATAAATTTTAAAATATATATATATATATATATAATCATAGAATCATCAAAAACAAAACAATTAGTATAATATGGTATGTTCAGCAGATGTCTGTATTTCAAATTCCTGCTGACAGGCAGCACTCATGCATTTTTTCTGCTCCAACACCAATTTTGAATTAAGTCTTGTTTACATCTGTGCTCTGCTGTTGATGCTCTTTCAGTTACATTTCAATTGTGATTTTTGGCAATGTCTCCAAAGAAAAGTCCCAGTGCTAATGCTAAGCATAAAGCTATATCACTGGAAGATAAGGTGGAAATGAATTATTTTATTCAGAATACTGTACATACATATAAATACTGTAATAAGCAATGGGGAGTGCTTATTTGTGGTTTATAGTCTGGTTATTTTGACTTAGGTTGAAAAACAACTTAAGTCGTGACCACTCTGGAACCAATTAACAACATAGAGTGAGGTATATATATATATATATATATATATATATCATTTAATTGAAAATATAAATTGCTACATTTTTATTTTAGTCATTTAAAATATAGAAAAGTGTAATCTCTGATCATTCCTGATCTAAGGCTAGCAAGTTATTTATTTTTGCTCTCTATAGATGTTTCAGTTTCATAAAGTTGTTTACAATTTTCAGTCCATTAATTTTTATCATAAATCTTAAACTACCAGATGGGAAAAAATGTATAAATATACATTATTTAAATTTTGAAGAATGGCCTGACATTGAAAGTTACTTAATATATGAACTTATTTATTATATACACTCAGATATTCACACATATTTCATTTGATTTATTCAGTAAATAGTAAATAGCACCTAACAATCACAACTCAGAATATGAACTGGTTTCAGCAATCATTTTTTAATACTTGCTTAATGGACTCAAGATTATGCAAACAACTTTTTGAAAGTAAAACATCATTAAAGAATAAAAGTAAATGACTCATTATAAGGACACTAGTCCAATTAAATCAGTATATGATAAGAATTGTATATATTTTAATCTTATTCAAGTTAAGATTAAAATATATACAATTCTCATTATATACTAATTTACTTGGACTAGTGCCCTCATGATGGTTTTTATAGTCAAACTCCAAACATTGTACACACCAACTGCCATCTTCATGAGAACACTAGTCCAAGTACATTGGTATACAATTATAATTGATAATAATAATTATTCATTTGAAAAATTCAAGAAAAATATAAAGTTATACAAGGAAATAATCCTTGAAATAAATATCCTAGGAAAACAGACAGTATAGATAACTTTTTACAAAGAAATTTGAATTATATATTTTCTTTGCAATATATTCATTAGACCTGGGACCACTTTTTTTAAGCATAAAAGTCAACAAATATAATGATTTAGTCTTAATTTGTTTTTGTTTGTTTTTTGTTGATTGGTGTAAATGAAAAATTTTTTTTTTTGTTGATTGCAGCAAATGAAAATTTATGCTCACGCACATTTACAAAGGAATATGTCTGAGGAACAAATGCTGGACGCTCGTAACTTGAGTATGAGTCAGGTTAGCAATTTGTCTCTCCCTTTACATACCAATGAACCTTTGTTAATCAAAGAAGAAAATGGAAAAGAAAAGAATACCCAACAATGTAATAAAGGATTTGATAATCCTGTATTTTTAATTGAAGATGCTGGAGTTAATTACAAAAAAGGTACCAATACATTGTTTGAAGAAGCTGCAGCCAAACAAATGCCAGATGATTTCTGTAGGAAACTTGATGAGAAGTTCATCCCAGTCAGTCATGAATTTGAAATTAATAAACTGGATCAGCAGGAAAAACAACAGCAATTAAGTATGTAATATTATGCAATTGTTTAAACATTTAATTTTGTTCATATATGGTAAGTAATTTTATCTCTGCCATAAAAATAATTGCCAAAAAGTTCTTATGAAAATTAATAAAATTAAAATAAATTCTTTATTTAAATAAAAATTTACTTCTAAATTTTTATCTGTCTATATTTCTTAGATGAGATATTGTAATTATTTATATTGTTTGCATTGTTCTAATTTTTTACCTAAACTTAACCATTTCTAAAAAAAATGTTTTGATGTTTTTTTTTAATTAGGAAAGTTAGAATCCTATAACATGCCAGTATTTGATTTCTTTTTTACTCAGTTTTTTCCTTCTAAGGTAAATTGAGCTACACAAGATTTGGATTAATTTGAAAACTATCTGATTTGATCCACACAATTTTGCATTCACAGGATTTCTTGTATGCTTTTTCAGCAAAAGACTTGCTGCATTTTTAGAATTAAATTTATTCTTCTATTTCTTCATTGAAATCAACTTGATTAAATCTCCTAGAAAAAAAATAATTACATTTCTGAAATCCATTTTAATTCTTTTAATTATCAAGTTAATGTTTGAGGCTGTTTGTACATGAAATATTGTTTATGCTTCTATAAGGATTGGTGAGTGAAACTATTCTAGAAGCCTTTTGCAGTTTTTCAGTGGACTGAAATTTTTTCATTAAAACTAGAATAAATTGTAATCCAAAAATGAAAATGGTGAATAATTAAAAACCTCCTAACCAAACTGTAATAATTTTAACATATCTGGATGAAATATTAAGTTCTTTTTTTAATTATTTTTGAACACATTTTGTTGATTGCTGGTCAAATTGAAAGAACTACTTCTTCAAATCAATCATTTGCTTCAGAAAGAGTTCATCATAAGGGATTTTCCTCAAATTTCACCAGCACATCTTGTTTTACTGAAGTCCAAACTTTAATACAGTCAATGGTAGTTTATTTCATTTACCCAGTGTTCTTTGTACTCTGTTGTTGTAAAGTATCTATTTTTTCTATCGCAATTTGATTAAAATATGGAATATATTTATTAAATTTTAGTAGCAAAATGCACAAAGAAATATTGTCCAATAGTTTCAACTTTTGTTGAAAGTATTATTTACTTTCTCTGATCTTTGATGTTAAAATCAATAAAAAAATACACCAACCTTAGCCAATGCTTTTTAAAAACTGATATGACAGTTGTCACACAACAGCCAAAAGCAATTTTTTAAATGAGGTCATTTGACATGATTACTTTCTTGATCTTTGCTAGAATTATATCATTAATGGAAAAAAGGGTTAACATCTGATGTTTAAACACAGTTAAAAATTTGAATTTGTAGTTTTTTTTCGAGGTAAGCAGACTGGTCCTCTCAACTTGGAAGACATCTTTTCTATCCTAATTTCCTCTCATTTGGCTTGTACCAATAAGTTATTTAGTTATAAGTCAAGTTTACTAATTATCTATAGAGGAAATTAGTTAAATAAAAAAGTTACAAGAAAATGCAACAAAAATCATACTAAATTGTTACTAAAAATTAAAGAGTATGTTATTTTCAAAACATAATGGATTGTATGCAAAAACAAAATAAGAAAGTTGTAAAAAAAAACACAGACAGAACTTTAAGCATGTAAAGAAGCTTTATTCAAAGCAATTCAACCACTGCACATATGTGAAATTTGACCATCACTTTTTATAGTTGAGTAGTTCAAGTGGAAATATGGTTGTCTTTACCACATTCTCTGGGTGATCTCACTTTCATTGAGCTGATCTGATGTCAATATCAGAATCATTTCAATGTTCTTGGATTTGCTCCTTAGAAGAATCCACAGGTAAGCATATTGTTGGTGCTATCAGTGGGGAAGTCAAAGGAAGGGTAGCCTTCTTTGCAGGTACGATACCACATCAGCAAGTTCCAGATCTCTGAGTGAGACATTTGATTGCCTCCCATCAGGGTATTAAATGTAGGTTGGTTTCCATCATTTCCGCCTCACTCACAGGCAAGTCATATTTGTTCTGATGTATTTATCTTTTTTTTTACGAAAGAGGGTCATGACAAAAGAGAGGTCCTGGCAGAGCTTCACATTGAGAATTTAAAGAATCTCCCATGCGGTGTTGCATTTGTACTAGTGTACAATAGAATCCAATAGCATAAAAGGGCTCAGGCAGCAGCTCTTCCCACTGTGAAATAGAGCATTTGTGGTTTACAGCCACAAGCTCTATCATCATCATCATTGTCAACTGTAATCAGGATCATTGAGCCAGTGCAAATGATTCTTTCCTTAGCTGTATAGTATGTGCTACATCAGGGCTTCAGTTTTGAATTCAGAGATACTTTCTCCTAGAACAGTTGCCACTCAAGGCTATAGAACTCAGTCTATCCAGCTATTTACCCATAGCTGGTGGGAAAAGAAGAGGATACATACCTTTCCCAAGAGTATTAGCACATAAATAAATGTAATGGATCTGACTGGAATTCAAACTCAACTCTCCGATTCCTCAATCCAAGCTGCTATCCATTACTCATTATAATGTTCACATGCCTCTATAATCCTCATTATAATGTTCTATAGTTTTCCATATAATCCTCATTATAATGTTCCTCACACTCTATAGTTTTCCATATAATCCTCATTATAATGTTCACACTCTATAGTTTTCCATATAATCCTCATTATAATGTTCACACTCTATAGTTTTCCATATAATCCTCATTATAATGTTCACACTCTATAGTTTTCCATATAATCCTCATTATAATGTTCACACTCTATAGTTTGCCATATAATCCTCATTATAATGTTCGCACACTTGGGTATTATATGATGTGGTTCAACTTACAGCCACATTCCTCACAAATGAGATTTGCTTCAACCGTCCTGGCTTAAATGCTGTTTCCTGATTCGTGGGGATGTATACTTGTACCTTGAAAATTTAGAATCAGGATCAGAGATATTGTATGACAGTTTCAGCTGAAACATCACACCAGGGAAAAGCAAATGGGCACCTCTTAAAATCTAAGTTGAGCGCTTTTGAAGGGTTGCATGATTTTCATGAAAGTTTCTGGTTTGAGTTTCTAGAAACAGTTTTTAATTACCAAGTATGTCTGACAGTTGTTCATAATCCTCTTGACATCCTTGATGAAAACAATAGATTTTGAATATAAACCACATGTAGAATTCTAGTGATCCCTCGGTGACATAACACCTTATCTGGCTTCAGGTCTTCATTGACCCTTTACTACAAATCTGACTATGATGATACAAGGGTGTGAGAGTGAGTACTTGGGAGAAGAAACGAATCTGACTTTGCCATGAGCATCTCTTTTTTTCTGGTGGGAATGTTCGTGATTGGCCAGTGTTGCTTTCATTGCTAGAGATTGCATCGTTGACTGGATGTGATGCATGGAGCTTATGCACAGAAAACGACTTTTTTATTTAATTCTCTGCCTTCATGGCATTCACATCTGGCCAGCAACCAGAATAAATCAGAAAGAGATCTAATTGCAATGGAGTATAACAAGGATAATAGATAGGCATTAAATTGGTATAAATCAGTTGATATTTTGTGAGTAGTCTATAATCATTCACTTTTTGTCATTACAATGGATGTTATCAAGACTTGTGCCCTCCACAGAGATTTACACTCTTCAATTATTCCTTCTCTGAGTATTCTGGTTATTTCCAATTGAATAAATCTCTTGTCTTCAGAAGAATATCTCCTAGATTTTATGGTTACTGGTTTACAGTGTATAGTTAAATTATTGAAGAGAGAGAGTATTGTATATCTATAGTGGTCGCAGATATTTAACACCGGTTAGGGCTCCCAAAAGGGAGTTTAACCATGGAGTACTGACTAAGAACATCATGACTCAATATTGTGTCACAACATATATCCTGTAGAAGTTAATATCATTGAAAGTACTTTGTTTTACTTATTTATTTATAAGAGTGTGTAATCTTCCACCAGTTTGCTTTTTCTATACTAGCATTTACAGAACTTCATGAGCTTCCTGTATCAATTAAAACATTGATAGTTACTCCATTAATTTTAACCTTCAAAATTGCTTTTGAAAGACATTTAGGAGACATAGTTGATACTATATTGGTCACTAGTATTACCCACATTGCTTAACTGGGAGAAGAAACACCCTGGTAAAGTTTTGGAAAATGACCTTTTTTTTTTCTTACACTGTAGCATATCAACTTTTGCATGGGATACAATGAAGAGGCATGAGAATTGAGTTCATAAAAATAATATTTATATTGAGCCAAGGCAGCATTAACAGGTTGTTCAAAAGACTCAGAGAGGCTTCTAGAACTTTATGAATAAAGAGGAGAATTTTCAGCAAGGACAAAAAGAAATGAAAGGTTTTAAAGAAAAAATTACTCTGGGCAGACAAAAAATTATGAATCTGTGGGAGTCCTGAGATAGGAATAGATGGACTTATTGTAGCTTTGACAATTTCAGGTTGCATGTAAGATGCAGATGTTTTCTGCATCATATCTAATAACATAGCCTGGTCATAAGCTGTTGTCAGGTCTAAAGTTTTATTTTCAATTCACCTTTGCCTTATTTGGTGAGACAATATCCCATTAATAAAGGCATCCTTTTTAAATTTGTCCTAGGTTTGTTCTGCTGTCAATGCCTTAAAGACGAAGCTTAGTGTCTTCAGACCACTAGTCTGATTTTTCACCTGGTTGTTGTTGTCTCGCACCAAGTAGGGGATGAGTAAAAATGAAGTGTTTTTTTCTTCTAAAATACCAACAGCAGTTTCATAGTCTTTGCAAGAAGAAATATTTGTGTAAATCTACATGGAGAAGTGGTGAAAGAATGTTTTCTTTGAGAAGGAGTGGGAGAAAAGAGAACTTATCGTGAATATTAAAAAAGACGCATACAATAACAAACAAAACTGTAAACTACTATGTGAAATTTGAAAAGTACAAACATTTATTAGACATAAAACACTATAACAAATTAGTTATTAGGCATAAATC